TAAAAACTATATTAACTTCCTTGACGTATCACAGCAACCGATGACAAATTAACCACCGACGAGATATTTGTCTTAGATAAGCATCAGAATGTCGGCTGTACGCAAAATGAAACATTACTTCTAGTATGCAAATGAAGAAGACCGCAAATATTGAACACTTTTTCGCGTCCTGAAGCGACATCTTAACAACCTACTGATAATTCATAAGAAGAAAAAACACGTGTAACGAACACAGAAAAAGCACGAAATACGTCGGTAGAAAATTCTCAAAGAAGAAACCGGTAACTTTAGTCCGCCCAAAAATGCACGATTGCACCTCTGAACGAAATAATTAAATCGTATAATATAAGAAAAAAAAAAGAAAAAAGGAAAAAATCGTGAACCACATTCGAACATGGAAGTAAAAGAACTACAGTCCTCGTTCGTTCCTCGTCGTTTCATTACGTAAAAGAAACGAGTCGTCCCGTTTGATGACCGGTAGGAATGAAAGGAAAAAAATACGACTGGTGCATCAGAATGCACGGTTATTCAAAAAATTTGTATTCATAAGTATGCAAGGACGATGAAGCAATCGCGTGGCCAGAAGTTTCGTGAGGCACCAACGCGACAAGGGGATGTCCGATTTATTTGTGTGACATTGCCATCTTCTCGACAGACCATTGTTTTTTACGCGAATCATATGAAATTATTAATATCCATTAATATCCAATCAAACGACCCGACAAGGTTATCGCCGCGGCTTTTCAATATTAAATTGCCTTAAGAAGGAGAATGTCACGTGTGTCAATTCGCTAAGGGTCAATAATCTGTCCTTGCATTGTAAATTATAATATACGACGGATGCAAGTAAAAATGTACAACAGCACACATCGTATATATTTGTAATAAAATACGTGCATTATATGATGGTATGAAAGATTTATCTTCAGGCAAAAACAGGTGTATAAATTATTTATAAAATTATTTGTGAGAATAACAATAATTTCTACTTCCTATTTGAGAAATTTACAATAGTTTCAGAATTTTTCTTATTTGTTTTTTGTATTATTATTTTGTATTATTATACACACAATAGTTTTTGTTAGTATATGCAAATTTCTGTAGAATTATTTAAAGGAGTAAAAATAATTTCTATTTTATATTGAAGAAATGCGTAACAATCTGAAAATTGTTGAATAGTTATCAATTTTCTGTATTATTTCAATAATTTTTAATAATAATAATTCTACAATCTTAATTAGCATATATAATTGTGAAAATAAGGATGGAAACTTGCTTCATCGTAATTACGTTGCATATTTTATTAATCGAATTTATCATTTCTGTCCTTTTCATTCTAACAGAAAATTCAGAAATTCCAAATTTTGTATAAGAATGCTAATAACATAACTATTATTAGAAAAGCTAGTATACCGTATGCATATATATACGAAGTGTTCAATAATGCTATTTCGAGTGAAGAAGGGTCAATTATCAGAGTTATCGGTATTACTTGCATTTGCATGGCAATAAAGCTACACCCTATCTCGAACAAAGTGCTACGCTGGAAGAAAAGAAGAATTCGTTCATTCATTGTCAGCTGTCGAGGAACACGATGACTAACTGCCACATGGAAAATTCTATGAATACGTCAATGCATTGTTGTCAGAGAAATGCGGAATTACTCAAAATGTTATTCATCCTAAGATGCATTTTATTCACTGATTATATAACTAGTCATTGTTTTAAAATAATTGTACATTAATGTGTTTACAAACTGACAATTAAATATTGTATATTTTGATAAGGAACTGCTTCTAGAGTCCTAAACTGGCATGTTATTGTAATAAATAATTATTGATTGAGGGTCAAACACATATATGAATGCTATCGTTCAAAAATATTTGGATATTTTTATTGATAATTTTGTTGATGAAGTTGAATGATATTCTGAAAGCAGATTGATCTTATTGTTCAGATTATAACTGTATGGTATACTTGTGTCAATACGCAACACAACTTATCTTTGCAATAGAATATTGTATTCTGTAATATAGAATATTTCATTGCTGTGGATATCGTATTTTTATGGATTCTGCTATATATTCCACAGATTATAAACAATTATAGTCATTTACACGAAATTCATTTAATATATTATTATAACTACTTCCTATTGTTATACATTTTTACATATAAATGAAAGCAATCTGAATCTAATGGCTTCCAAAAAGAATCATACAAAATTTTCACTATCCTTCCAAATTCAAAATTTGGAATTTCTAAAATTTCGACATAATTATAACGTCTGTATTACCTCTTCGAATTAAATCTAGAATAAGTCAATCTAAATTATCCAAGTTTCCATGTGTCCCAGGACGAAGCATTGCAACAGGCATTCTAATTCAAATCTAGTCTAAAATAGTTTAAAATAGTCAAAATAAAAATTATTCAAAGCTTTCCCAGAAAGGTTCATAGAAAATTTCTCGATTTTCGATAATTCCAATGTATTTCTCAATAGAATTCCCAACCAAAATTAAATCTCGAATAAATCAGTGTATAAATTACTAAAATTTCGTTGCGTGCCAAGACGAACCATTGCAATAAATAGATCTAACTCGGACCTAGCCTAAAATAGACAAGATGCAAACTGCATAAGCGTCGTAGCGCCCTTCTAAAAGAGATTCATAGATAATTTCTCAATCTTTGATAGTTGGAAACTCGTGTCCTTCCAGAGAACGAAAAATAGTTCTCGATGAAATTCCATCCAACATCTTCTATTCCTCTATCAGAATCGATAAATCAGTGTACTCTAATAACCGAACCTAACGCGAATCTAACTGGAATAAGTCAGCTCGTCGATAGAAATGATCTGAATTTGATTACGTACCAGAGTGAAGCGTGGTAAGAAGCGAAATTTCAACTGATCGACGCGGGACCGTGCGAATCGCGCGGTTCAGAGAAGCAGATACTGCGCGGTAAGACTCTGTTCGCGGACATCCTCTATACATAGATACGTTATTGCGTCGTCGTCGTCGTCGTCGTCGTCGTCGTCGAAATGATGAGGTTCGGTCCGATGCAGTCGACCGCCGATCGGCACTGCAACCGAATACAGCAACTCTCGTTCACGATATTTTCGGTGTCAAGGTGTACCAGAAGCCGTGCTATTATCATCAACCTGGCCTTCGTTTTGCGGTGAAACGTTAATTCATTCATAGCACGCACCGCAAGGGCAATAACCTGGCCAACCATAATTGCCATCGAAAAATCAGTTCTCGACCGATTACTCACACCGATCGTTACGCTTAAATAGCTTGTTACAATACGCGGGTCGTTCAAACAGATTCGATCGGTTTGATTAAATCAACAGGAAAGAAACGAGCAATTTAAATAGGACTAGTAGGCAATTTTCTTGATTTATTTGTAAATTTTGGAGTGTATTTCGAGTAAAACTGAGTATGAAACATATACGTAAAGGTAGGTACTGTGTTATATGTTTTTTTGTCTTTCATACAAAATTAGGATTATAATATTTTCTGAATTAATAAGTTCCCAATGTAGGTATCTTTATAGCTTTTTCTTTTGTAGAGAATGAAGATTAGAGGAAGAGTATAGGAGGAGATTTATAGTTCTATCTAAGGAAAGAGAGATGACTTTAAAATCATTGGAACGTGTCTACTTCAGAAGTGAACACATAAAACAAGACTATTTAATTTTATCTAATAAGATCCCTCTCCAATCGTTTTATTTCCATCGTTCCGAAGCTATAGCTGGGAACATTAGATATATACGAAGCTCGTAAGAACAGCGTAATGAGCTTATTTTAATCTTCCGATTTTAATGTCGTTATTATTAATTGACAGCAGGTTGGGAAGTAGAACAACCTGTTGGACGCAAAGACTATAAAATACCAAGTATTGAGTTCAGGAAACTGTGTAAAAAAAACAATCAAAAGCGTTTCAAATTAACGATCTTTAATACGCAGCTAAGCACGTTATAGTTAATTGGAATTGAAACAATATGACCAAAATACATCATCTATATCAGAATATGTAATTAATGGCTCAATAAAAGTACACATTAAATTACCGAATTCATTTACATATTTTTAATAAGTACAAAGATAGAGAAACTGATATTAGTAGTTTGAATTGCTTTGGTAGTTCGAATATCGACGACTATGAATATATTCTCGATATATTCGAGAAACAGACAGTCCAAAATACATAGTTGATCCAAAAACTAAACAGAGAACAGTGTTAGTAATACGAAATTCTTCGAAATCATATCAAATTTTAATATATTATATCTATGAAATGCTGGGAAATGTAATTTATCATTCTACTGCGATCTCCGTATGTAAATTAGTTTAGTTTAACTTATTAAATTGCATTAATGCGCTATTGATAGAACAAACGATAGTTTAAAATCTCATGAAATTTTTCTCTCTTCGCGCATTTAATCGATTGTTTTAACTAATCATAACGCAATCATATTTAATCTCTAAATGCCGATACGTAATTGATTTTCAGACATTTGTTCTTCGTATTTTGCATATATCAAAGATCGAATATACTAATTAAACTGTGCGCTATGTTAAAATCACCGTCGCGTCACGACGCGGAGAGAAAATGCTGAAAGTCATACGCGATACGATACGGGGAGCAAACTAAATATAAATGTGCTCGTTACTAGATATGGGTGTTTAATTTCAGAACAAATAAATTTATCTACTATACTACGTATCTTTTTCGATATACCGAGATAAATCGATGAATGCCAATGTAAATGAGCGAAACGTGGCGCTTCACGATAATATCCGCCAATATTATTATAACGAGTATTTCACTTCTACAATTTTCATTTAAAGAGACACCCTGCAGTCTATTAAACGTAAAATATCGCGATACTAAAATCCCGGATCAAATCACGACTTACGTGTCTTTGGATAAATCGTTGGTATTTAAGGCGAAAGATTAAATTGATTAATTTAATTAAGAAAAAACAAAAGAGCTATTCACCATAGAGTGGCCATTCATTTGTTCTGTCGGTGTTTTCGACTCGAAAGTCGTCGATACTTCTTCCGTATGCGTCATAATCATGCTCCTTGCTTAAATCGTATTGAATCAGATCGAAGGCACCTCGTTATACTTCAATGAAGATTCTTCCAGCACTTTCCAGTCGGTTTCGTGCATCTTTGTCCTCACATTTTCGAAAAAGCAAAGTTTCGTTTCTTAAATATATTCGATGTTATCGAAAAAGGTAGGATTATCTACTTTGTACGGCGCCAATTAATAATTGTTTTCGAGTCGAATCGATCTATATCTCAAGTTAATCAGAAAACAGCAAACAGTCAATCCGTAATAAATAACATTACTCTCGTATCGTCAAGAAAATGTACTTTTTGTTGCCTATTGGTTATCGTCTTCGGCAATACAGCCGACAAAGTTCACTTTCAGAAACGTGTAAAAATCACAATTCTATTCATTTCGTTCACAGTCCATCAAAACATACGACTTATACGTCGCACACTGTCTTTTCTAACGTTGACAAATTTTTTTGTGTAGTCTTAACCCCTCGACTGCTTCGAATTTTGTAATTTTTTTCAATAAACGTCTCTTCAGAAAAATTCTAAAAAATCGATATCTTTCTTCGATGCACGATTTTATTTTATTTTCCACCTGTTTTCTGCATACGTTGTATCGTACGTATTTCCTTGAAACACAAGTATTAATAGAGAGCGACAAGATTTTACGTTACGGCGTTCTTCTCCCTAGGTCAGAGAGGAAATGACTTTTCAAACTCTTTTTAAAGTTTCTTCACCACCACAGATAACAAAAGAGCAAACATAAAATCCCATCAAACGCAAAATCGTCGTACAATTTTAAACATCTTCGGCCTATTAATTTCCCGTCCGTTGATTCACACAAACTGTGCCCTCTGTCCCGATAAAAGCAACAACAACAAAAACTCGATAAAAATTTCACTCGACCTCGTCTCTTCCTCTTCGCATTCTCGACGACCGAACGTCTCTCGATATTTCTCCTTGAAAATACGATATTTCGATGCAATGCTCCACTGTCGACGAGAAAATCTCTACTGTCTCTTCCTTTTTTAAAATGCTGTTCGACTGTAAATCACGAATTTTCTGCTAAATTCAAGGCACAGCGTGGAAGAAAAGTTCACGAAGAATATCCCTCCTTAACGGGACCACCATGATTCGTTTCTCGTGACGGATAAAAGGCTTTGTGGTTTTTAGGAAATCGCAGGTTTTGACGGTGCAATTTGTTCGACTGTTAACGAGACACTTGGCCCGATCGATCTATGGCATGCGGCTGAATGAACGTGCAGTCGAGTTACGATTTTTCGGAAAACGAAGGTGCAGCAGAGCAAAGACAGAAAAGGAGCCGGCACGACCGGCCGGCTTACACACACTGACTTCTGACTGGTCGAGCTAGTAGGTGACTCCAGGGACCCCTTCCATAACGCATAGCAACTGCTCGTAAGACGACTGATAAGTTCTTGCATTCTGCTAGAATCGACAGATCGTCCTGACGGCTGCCGCGATCCAATCCGCAGGATTTCCTCGATAGTAGCGAAGTATGCGATTTGTTTTTCGAGGAAAACTCAACGTCAGAAGTGAAACGTCAACGAGCTGATTTTTGACGCGTGGCGCCACGACTTTCCGTAGAAAGTTGATCAAAGAAAAAAGAAGGGCTCGTGCGAACCAACATCGACTTTCCGATGTGATACGATCAATGGGTCTTGCTTTGGCGAATTGCTTTATTCGTTGTATAGAATGATGACAGAAGAAGGACACGATTGGTACATTTTTGTTGATTTTCTAATTTTGTGCGCGAAGAATGGTACTTTAATACGATGTAGCTGAGAAGCTGTTAAATCCAAAGATGTAAGATTGAAAATAATTCTTGAATTTTAATATCTAATATTATCATAGGCAATAGTTTGAAATTTATGAAAACGGAAAACACGATCTCTTCCGTGCAAAATAGAAACTATGACTAATGTTCTTCTCCTATAGTTTTCATATAGACGGCGAATTTTTATATATTTGTAGGAAAATATATGTAATAGTAATAATACAACAATACATGTAATATCCAGAGCAGAGTACTTGGTATAATACGTAGTGGTTGAAACAAATTTTTCCTTACAATTGTGTTCATAATTTGCATAAATATTCGCAGTATACTTATTTGTTTCTCTGTTTGGATTCGTAAAAGTATCGTTTTAATTGAAAATTTCAGGTGAGATATATTTGTACGTTTAAAAAATTATGGGATAATCGTGAACTTAAATTTCAGTGTAAATCATATCGTGTTAGTAAAGAATTTGTTAATTGACGATGATTAACTGATGTATATCACATGGAATACTACAAACACACGTACATATAATGTACGAGACGCTTCTTATTTGTGTATCTAGGATAAAGATAAACAGATCTTGTAATTATAAAATTAAGTTGACACTTGTCAATTACGTATAAGGAAAAATAAGTTATATCATGTTTCAATGATAAATAAATAATAACTAGAGAGACACTACTCACGAAGCTATCTAACGATTTGTGAACGAGAGTGTAAATATTTGCATGTACGATAATGCGATATACGATAATTATAAGTGATATCTTAATTACATCGTGAATGATGATATTTCCAATATTTGCTTCAGTATTGTAATATGTATTATATTATTTTCCGCGTCCTCTTTTATTCTTTTAGTTTTGTACACTTTCCACTGGACTATTTTGTACATTGAATATTATATTTTGATTTTGATTTTGAGTTCCGAAATCAGTAAAAGATGATCCTACTTTAAGAAGAATTTTTGTTTTTTTTTTAAATAATTACTGCAAAGAAATAGGATAAAATTTAATCTGCATAACATTCGACAAAATTAATAACATCGTACTTTACGAAGAATTTTCGTTTTTTTTTAAATAATTACTGCAAAGAAATAGGATAAAATTTAATCTGCATAACATTCGACAAAATTAATAACATTGAAACATTAATAAAAATTAATAATATTGCCTTTGCTTTGATCGATGGCTTCCTTAGATATGATATGACTATCGTGAGTAAGTAACGTAACACCAGTTCGTTGAATGAAGTACTCGTTCGTTAATTGCAAATTAGTCTGTTATCTCTATATCACAACCAAGCAATTATTAACAGAAAGTAAAAAAAATTTACATAGTAGCACTCCACTTTCCACCAAATTCGTTAAAAAATTTATGTCGGTTGTTATGTTGATAAATACTTGCATTGAAAATTGCATTGATTTAATTGTTGACAACTGTTATGTTGACAACTGTTATGTTGACAAATAATTGCATTGAAAAATGTTTTAAGCTATTGATAACGTCAATATTCAATGTAAAGCACAGATTAGACGAATTACGTACTTTCTACTGACGTTAAAATTGAGTCAGCAATTTTTTCGATTATCTTTCATGCGACATGATTATGTAAATGATGAACTCCCTCGATACTAGTTTGTTACAAAACGCCTGGTTTCTCGTGCTACTTGCTGCCGCGCTCGTGAAAACCAATTCCAAGCGAAGTAAAATAAACGTTCGTCATCAAAGAGGGAACACCCGTAAGGTTCATTCATACTCTTCGAGCGCAGGTTTCTATATTTAACCATTCCCATAAGTTTCTGATAAATTCTCAACAGTGGCGATACGTGCTGAAACGTGACTTTCACCATGAGTTGTAGTTCTCAGTTACCAGACTATTGTTTGTTATTCGTCGCATTGTCTGAATCGCTAATGAAGCAACTAAAATGCCCAACCTAGAAATTTTCCATATGCAAATCGTACTACAATTTTACTAATTACTTATGTGTGGTGTACGAATATTTACGCAAATTCGTGCTTTTATGAATTAATTTAAAGAATGGAATCTGTGGACAGAAGTTCGTTTTACTTGCCAAATATCGAATGTTACGAAATACGCTTCCCATAAATACATAAAAATTTTCTATCCACTTACGCGTTTTATATCGTATTTATATTTATAACAATGTGAGAATAAACGATGGAACTTTAATATGAGAATGTTAATGCGTGAATCATTCTAATTGCAAGACATAAAAATAATTAATGTGCAAATTGAAACGTGTCGTACTGGCTCTGTCGTCTAGAGGATAATATAGCTAATCTGGAATCGAAGATACTCAATGCCCGAAAGTTATGTTCATCGGATTGCGAATAATTATATAGAATGCGTCATACAACACGTTGCAATTAAAGTTACGAGACTTAAAATTCTTGAAAGTGAGATTATATTGGATAATGTCCAAATACAGGCACGATCAGATACATGTAAAACGGAAGAAGATATTAAACGACCAAAATTAAATATTTTATTACTAAAAAATAGAATTGAAACTTCCAAGATTATCGAGTCGAAGCGCTGATTGTGAATTTAAGAAATTCCTGTTATTAATTTGGAACTACGAACTTTTACTTCTGTTTATTTTGTTATATATTGTCATATATAAAAAGAAATTAGTATTTAACAGATACGAATATATGAATATTTTCCTAAAAGTGATTTAAATGACAGGATGCTTAATTCGAGAGAATCACGAACAGAGATGAACTTTAATGGAATAATCTGTATCTATACATTTTTAATCCAGATCTTAAACAGATCTTAAACCTCAATATGCACTTGTTCTAGTGACCGCTTCCATATTTGTTCCACTGAGACTGTCAGTTAATTGGTAGGTACGTCTACGTAATGTTCAAAGAAAGACACCTCTCTGCTCAGCATGCTCCCGATTTTCTTAGTAGATCAAACTCAAGAAATGACATGCTGCCTCTCATAGTTGTAAAATCGCTCAAATATTCTTCATTTTTATTTGTATCCGTACGTTTAAGACGGCTATTCGTGCTGTATATTAATTGTTCATTAAGTACATGTTTATAACGAGTACCTGGTATCTCGTAACTTTTGAGTAGATTTTCAGATTGGTTTCAAATTTTATCAATATAATCGTGATAGTCGTGCGTCTCGTTAGAATTTTTACAAAATTTTAAAATACATAACATAACAGGCTTCCTATGGTAACTGTTTAAATACTTTCATCGACCGCTGTAATTGAAGTCACACGAGACGATATGATAATTATATGATTATTATTGAAATGAGAAACAAGCAATTAATGTCGTGACAATCGATGTTTTTGAAACATTTACAGAGTGAGAGAAACACGTTCAAAAAGAAATAGAATTTCGTTTAATATATGCGAAAGTAATCGGACGCTTGTTTGTCGAACAACCTGTATTCAGTGTAATCATACATTTAACACTTGTTGTATGCACTTGAAATGATCATTCACGCTGTACGCCAAACTTTAATTAAACATATATTTACAATGGATATCTTATAATTTCCACAAACATTTTCAGATTGGTTTCAAATTTGACCAATATGGTAATGTCAACGGTGTCTCGTCACTATGCTAATGAAATTTCGAAATGTTTTATGTAACGCGCGCAATGTGGACGCAAAAGTTTTCTATAGGAAGTGTGCAAAATACTTTCGTGGGTATATTTATTATCGGTTAGGAAACCGAGCAATATTTTTCAATGGCACCGAGAGGATAAACCCGAACGAAATCAGGGCGAACGAAGTGTGTGCACCTCGTAAACTGGTACGTTATGGTGCAGCTGGCAACAAAAAAAAAAAGAGGATAAAGAAAAAGAAAGGAAATCAGCCCGGCCATTTGATGCGTCGTCGGCCAGTCGTAAATCAACCAAGGATGCAATATTATTAAATTATGCGCGCACTCAATTCCTGCTATTAAAGAATGGAACTCCTATCGATCTTATCGGCCGATTTCATCGATCTTATCGCGACAGTACGAAACGCCTACGCGTTTGTAATCGCGACTTAACTGTACGCGACCTACGCCAACACGGTCACTCCGGTACCTAGGCAATCTCGTTTTTCAGTCGGGATAAAGAGAGAAAGCATCAGGCTCGACTCGAGCTGCAAATAATGAAATGAGGCGTAAATGCGGCCTCCAGAATGACTGCCTCCCGGGTTCGTCGCGTACATCCACCTAAAGGACCGTGAGAGAGATTCATCGATGTCTCCGAGACACGATGAGCGCGACGCGTGAGTGTTACGAGACTGTCGGATCAGATTGAATCTTCTAATAGGGAAGAAGATGTCAACTTGATCGAAGATAGAGATATATGCGCGTCTGTGCAAAAGTCTCGAATCATCTACGTCGGTGATCTTGCGATGATCAGATACGACGATTAAGGGTACTTTTGAGAAATGTTTCTATAGACAGCGTTATATGAAAGACGATATTTAATCGTTTTAGTAAAAAATGATGTATTTGATAGCGATAAATACTTGAGTGGAA